TTTCTCATGGACCGATCTCGGTAAAGGCTTCGTGAAGGGGTCTGCAACGTTCTCTTCCGAGGTGACTCGTTCTACTTTAACTTCACCTCTATCAATGATCTCTCGGATCACATGATACTTTCTCGGAATATGCTTTGACTTCTGATGAGATCTCGGCTCCTTAGCTTGCGCCAAGGCTCCAGTGTTATCACAGTACAACGGTACTGGATCACTAGCATTAGGAATGACACCCAACTCTTGGATGAACTTCCTTATCCAAGTCCCATCTTTTGCAGCTTCGGATGGTGCAACGTATTCCGCTTCGGTAGTGGAATCGGCCATCGTGCTTTGCTTGGAACTCTTCCAACACACGGCACCACCATTAAGCGTGATTATAAATCCTGAATTCGACTTTGAGTCGTCCACATCCGATTGAAAACTAGAGTCGGTAAAACCCTCTAATTTCAACTCGGTACCCCCATAAACCAAAAATATATCCTTAGTCCTTCATAAGTACTTGAGGATATCTTTCACGGCCTTCGAGTGAGCCGGGACGGGGTTAGACATATATCTTCTTGTGACACTCACAGCATACGCAATATCGGGTCTCGTACACAGCATGCTTCCTATGGCAGAAGCATAAGGCGTCCTTTTCATCTCCTCGATTTCACTAGGTGTTTGCGGACACATAGATTTCGAGAGACGAACCCCATGGGACATTGGCAAGAATCCTTTCTTCGATTCTTCCATGCTAAACCGTTTCATAACGGTGTCTATGTACAGGCTTTGGGATAATCCAAGCATCTTCCTTGCTCTATCTCTATAGATGCGTATTCCCAATACATAAGATGCTTCTCCCAAATCCTTCATTGAGAAACGTGTGGACAACCATGCTTTCGTTTGTTGCAACATTCCTACGTGATTCCCAATGAGTAGAATGTCATCAACGTAAAGCACTAAAAATATCACTGCCCTCCCACTAACCTTCTTGTATACACAAGAAACCTCCGGGTTCTTCTCAAAATCAATGTCTTTGATAGTTGAGTCGAACCTAATGTTCCAACTACGGGATGCTTGTTTCAATCCATAAATGGATCGCTGGAGCTTGCAAACCTTTTGCTCACTTCCAGAAGATATAAAGCCTACCGGCTGCGCCATGTAAATTTCTTCCTCAATATCTCCATTAAGGAAGGCGGTCTTCACATCCATTTGCCATATCTCGTAGTCGTACCACGCAGCTATGGCCAGCAAAATCCTAATGGACTTCAGCATCGCGATTGGCGTAAAGGTTTCCTCATAGTCAACAACTTGCCTTTTAGTGTATCCTTTCGCTACCAGTCTAGGTTTATAGGTCGATACCTTTCCATCCACTCCAATTTTCTTCTTATAGATCCACTTGCAGCCTATAGGAACAATTCCTTTAGGTGGATCTACCAAGGTCCATACCTTGTTGGAGTACATGGAGTCCATCTCGGATTTCATGGCAGTTAGCCAATGTCCCACGTCCGCATCCGATACGGCCTCATTTTATGTTCTTGGATCTCGTCCAAGATCATCATGATCTTCATCATTCTCGAGGAGGAATAACCTATCCGGCATTTTCCGAACTCTTTCGGATCTACGTACCGTAGGTTCTGGAGGTATATTAGTGGTTTGTTGTATTGGTTTGATTACTTGTTCTTGCGCTTGAACTTCACTTTGTGGTTCCTGAACGACTTAAAGTTCTATCATGCTGCCTTTTCTAACCGATAAAAACTCCCTTTACCAAAAAAGGTTGCATTTCTCGAAACAAACATTTTTGCTTCCTTGACATAGTAGAACTCGTATCCCATCGAGTCTACGGGATACCCCACAAAATAGCACAAGTCGGATTTAATATCCAACTTATCTCCCACTAATCGCTTCACATTCACATAAGCGGGACAACCCCATATCCTAATATGTTTGTAGTTGGGTTTCCGGGAATGCCAAAGTTCATAAGGTGTGGATTTAACTATTTTGGTGTTAACTCTATTCAGCAAATACGCGGCAGTACGAAGTGCATGACCCCACAAGTATGCCGGTTAGTTCGTGAACCCCATCATTGATCGAACCATATCCAATAAAGTTCGATTCCGACGTTCGGAGACTCCATTAAGTTGAGGAGTTCCAGGTGGAGTCCATTGAGATTGTATTCCATTCTCTTTTAGATAGTCAATGAACTCGATGCACAAGTAATCTCCGCCACGATCGGATCGCAGCTTCTTAATACTTCGTTCGAGTTGCTTCTCTACTTCGTGTCTAAAATCTTTGAACCTTTCAAATGTTTCAGACTTGTACTTCATCAAGTACACATACCTATACCTAGAATAATCGTCAGTAGAGGTAGCGAAGTAGTTGTATCCACCCTTCACACTAACACTTAGTCGACCACACACGTCTACATGGATCAAATCCAAAAGACCCTCGGCTCGTTCTATTTTCCCTTTGTAGGGTGACTTTGTCATTTTCCCTTTAAGACAAGATTCACAAGTTTGTAGTGATTTCACGTCCTCCAAAGAGAACAATCCTTCACTAACAAAATCGTTCTTCCTTCTTAAAGAGACATGACCTAATCTAGCGTGATAAAAAGTTGTGCGGGGTTTTGACCTATCTCCTTACGTTTTGCTGATTTTCGCCTTAGGGTCCCCCACTACCTTCACCCACTTCGAACTTGCTGTTTGGGAAGGGAACTCTTTCCTTTCTCTTCTTTTGGGAAGAACTCTTCTTTCCAGATGTAGCAGCAATGAGAACAGACTTCTCTTTCTTAATGGTGGACTCGAAAGTGACCAACATGTTCATTAACTCATCCAAGGGAGGATCTAGTTTGTTCATGTTGAAGTTCACTATGAACGATTCATAGGAACTAGGAAGAGACAATAGTATCAAATCCAACGAGAGCTCGGCCGGGAGGGTGACATCGAGATTCACTAGCTTTTCAAGGAGAATGATCATTTTGAGACAGTGCTCGTGGACCAAAGTCCCTTCGTGCAGTCTCGTCGTGATCAACTCCTTTGTAGCAGCGTACCTCGATGCCCTAATATTCTCATTGTACATGCTATCGAGATGAGCCTTTATATCGAAAGCATGCAAGTGAGACTCATATTTCCTCGCAAGCGCGGGCTCCATGGCCGCTATCATATAGCACCTAGTATGAGTGTCATCTTTCTTCCAAGCTTCATAAGTTTCCTTTTCCGCATCAGTCGCTGTGGCAGGTATAGTGGCGGGAAGTCTCTCGTTCAAAACATAGAGACGTCTCTCAACGGTTAGCACAAGTTTAAGACTACGCAACCAATCTAGGTAATTTGGGCCATAGAGTTTATTGTCGAAGATTGACATTATGGGATTCTTAGACATGATTATTTGAGAGGTATAGAGATGAGGATTATTAGAGATTCGCGTTAAATGATTGTTTGCAATTAAATGTTTAGTCTTATGTTATTTAATTGTTCTCCCACTAGTTTTATCGAATTCCACTTCCCTCTAGTAGACAAACGAGAAAACTGATTTTTCTTAATGGGCTTTAGGTCCAATAGACAAATATAACCCGTAGTTAATCTAGCCCGATTATATTTGCCCAAAGGTAGATCACAATCAATCATATCCACAATATGACCCTAAATTAATTTTCCTCACACTTGATAATGACCTAAGTTAATCTCGCGAATATCAAAATCGTCGTGTGTCAAGTCTAACCTACCAATCAAAGATGCTCAAGAACTTGATTATGCCAAACTAATGCAGTCTCTAGTTAATCTAGCCGACCACGTTAATCCAACAAAACCCTTTTCTATGGCTACCTTCATCGTTATGTCAATTGAATTACAGCTTACTCCACCATAGCACTCCCCGCTAACACGGCTTACTGCACTACAGTGAAGGGCTACACATAAACCAACCGTTGGCAGAAGGAAAGAAATAACTCAACATATTGGGTTGTTCTTTATACCTTGAAATGATTCTTAATTAGATTAAGAATGAGGGATTTTATTAAAAGTTTTATCTCATCAGAAGGTTCGGATAAGTCTATGTGATTCCTACATCTATGTTCTCTAAAGGTATATGGAAACGCATATTGTCCTAAGAGGAACATACGACCTAACTACATAATTAATAACATTAATTAATTATCGGGTTTTTCAAAATAATTATAGAACCTCAACTAGCTTAAATCATTCATATAACGTTGAGGTACTACTAATTAAGTTGAACTATATTCAATATTATATTTGTGTTCCATTAATTGAAATCAATTAAACAATTTAAATTAATTAATTAATCGAACACCTATTTACTAAAATAGATGATTGTTGACTCTATTATCTAATTTGGATTAATTGAAAATAATTTTCAAAAAAATTAAAATCAATTTGTTTTAAGTTTAATTTTAGAAATCTGAAATAAATGTTTTTTTTTTGACGTTTTAAAATTTTTTTCAGATCCGATTTTCCAATTTTAAACAATTTTAAAGCTGGAAAAATTCTAAACAATATTTCAAAAATATTTTAAACTTACGAAAACTCCCAATTACATAATACAACAATCGCTACATTAATAAATCGAACATGCATAAAATCATAGCATATTAAAACGAACGCAATTAATTGCGCAACGAGCTCTGATACCACTGTTGGGTTTCGGGCACGTGTACGCAGCGGAAAACAAAAATTTTATGCGAATTAAACAACTTCAAAACACATAAACACATGCCCGATAATTGAAAACAATTAATTGCGTACATTTGCGCTTCCAGCGAAATTAAAAAAAAAAACATACATTGCGTACCTTTGCGCTTCCAGCGAGATTAAAACAACATACATGCTTAATTACTTAATCGAAATTAAATCAATTAGGATACTCGCGTTTACATCAAATAATCATGCTCGCAATAATAAAACCAATTTCATGTAGTCGCATAAATCATACAAGTTTCTTATTAACACGAACATGCATATATTTATTTAAACTAACCGAATCGAATGACAATAGATTCGAAACATTACATCTTTCGAGATCACGTGCCCAAGGAAGTGGACTTGGCGTAACCAAAATTCACATTTGGAGAATTTTGCGTAAAGTTGGTTTTCTCGGAGGGTTTGGAGCACGATTCTCAAATGTTCTTCGTGTTCTTCATCATTTTGGGAGTAGATTAAGATGTCGTCGATGAACACGATCACAAATTGGTCGAGGTACTTCCGGAAGATTCGGTTCATTAAATCCATGAAAGCGGCCGGGGCGTTGGTTAGACCGAATGGCATTACTACAAACTCGTAATGGCCGTAACGAGTTCGGAAAGCGGATTTTGGGATATCTTCTTTCTTGATTTTCAATTGGTGATATCCGGAGCGGAGATCGATCTTTGAGTACACCGTGGAGCCTTGGAGTTGGTCGAAAAGATCGTCGATTCTCGGTAGAGGATATTTATTTTTTATCGTGACTTTGTTAAGCTCTCGGTAGTCGATACATAGGCGGAGGGTTCCGTCTTTCTTTTTGACGAATAGGACGGGAGCGCCCCAAGGAGAGAAGCTAGGGCGAACAAACTTCTTATCGATAAGCTCTTGAATTTGGTCCTTGAGTTCTTTAAGTTCTAACGGGGCCATGCGGTAGGGTGCTTTGGAAATAGGAGTTGCACCGGGAATTAGGTTGATCTCAAATTCAATTTCACGATCGGGTGGAAGACCGGGGAGATCTTCGGTAAAGACATCGGGAAAATCACAAACGGTTGGTACTTGGGATGGCTCGGGTTTATTTTCGTCGGAGATTTCGACTATGTCGACCAAATGACAGCAATGCCCCTTTCGGGCGAGCTTAAGTGTTTTGACGGCGGAGAGGATTTGGAGTGAAGGCGAATAAGACCCTTGGAATTCCACTGTTTGGCCGTGAGGTAAAGAAAGATAGACGGTTTTGGTCGCACAATTAATTTGGGCTTTAAATTTGGACAACCAATCCATTCCGAGAATCACTTCGAAATGGTCTATAGGGAGAATTATGAGGTCGGAATTGAGTGGCTTCTTTTGGATTTGGATTGGGCAATCTTTGAAAAATAGGTCGGATTCTAAGTCATTGCCGGACGGTAAGCGAATTGTGAATAATTCACTAGATGTGGTAGGGGTTATCGGGAATTTGGCGGCGAGGGTACTCGAGACGAATGAGTGAGTCGATCCGGAATCAACTAGAGCATAAACGAGATTGTTACAAACGTAAATTGTACCTGCTATCATCGAAGGGTCGGCTTCGGCTTGATCTTTGGTCATTGCGAACACTCGACCGGGGGCTCGGTTTGGCGGTGGGGGTTGTGGGCAATCCCTTATCAAGTGCCCTGGTTTTCCACAGCGATAACAATTGTTGGTGCCTTGAACGCAAGGTCCAAAGTGAGGTTTCCGACATTTTGGGCAGATCGGTCGGGCTGGTGGTGTAGCATTGTTTTGAATCATTGGACGTTTCCCCTTGTTTTGGCTCGGTCCGGTGTGGGGCCTCTTCCATTTGTGAGTAGTGGCGGGTGGAACGGATCGAGATTGACGGATCTCTTGCTCGGCTTGGTCTGCTTCGAGTGCTTTGTCGACTATTTTCCGAAAAGTCGTTACGGAAGACATGCGGACATCTCGTTGAATCACCGGGTTGAGGCCTCTAAGGAAATGGTTGGCCTTTTCGTCGGCGTCTCGGGATATGAATGGGGCGTAGAGACATCCTTGTTCGAATCGCCTTACGTACTCGGCTACGGACAAGTTGCCTTGCTTTAGCTCGAGAAATTCCTTTAGCTTCTGAGCTCGGAGGTTTTTGGAAAAGTACTTTTCGAAGAACAAAATTTTGAAAGCGCTCCAAGTAGTGTTCGTTAGGTCGATTCCTTCTTTGGTACCTTCCCACCAATGACGGGCTTCGTTCTTCAGTAGGAAAAGAGAACAATGGATTCGATCTCGATCGGACATTTCCATGTAGTCGAAAATGACTTCGAGGGATTTGATCCATTCTTCGGCTATGGTTGGATCGGGGCCTCCATGGAATTCGGCGGGGTGCATTCTTAGAAACCTTTCGTAAATGGCTTGGGGTGCGGTATTTTGAGTTGGTGGAGGTGGAGGGTTCTGGTTTTGGAGGTTAACAAGGCGTTGGATTTGTTCATTTTGTTCTCGGACGAGGGCGGTGAGGTCTTGTATGGTGCGAGATTGATCGTTCGGACCGTTAGCGGCGTTTTGAGCTCGAGTTTGTGCTCCCGACATTTTAGCACTTTAAACAAATAAACACTTCTCATTAGTTAAGAAATGTGCACACATAAACACATACCTGCCCGAGTTCTTAGTTGATGTCGTCATTCGAGGATTTCGGAGATCTTTAAGTTCATATGGAAGTTTCCGGGGAACGTTGCTCTGATACCACATATGTGTGACACCCATTTTCTAATTACACTTACTTAGTAATTTAGAATATGCTAGCGGAAGACTTATAGAAAATAATGAGTGTGGAATGCTCGTTTTAGAAATCACCTTCTACCAATAGAAAGTTACGCATAATTTTTTTTTTTTCTTTTAAAATCAGAGGAAGAGTGTCCACATAATACTATATCATATACACTTCACCAAATATCACAAAAGGAACATGCATGACTAGAGTATTGAAATTATCAAGAGTAAAGATTAGGAATTTCGGACAGATTTGGTAGATCAACTTAGAAAATTAATATCTCTTGAACCCTTCATGAAAATATTTTGAAACTTTAACCACATACTCTAATATGGGTCGACATTACTCAGTTAAAACAGTTTTAAAATATCATTAGCCGTTTGAGAGAAATAATTAAACATATGCAACTATACAGTTTAAAAATTCAGAACAAGAGACGGAGCTTTGAAAATTATTTATAAATTCCCTACTGTTCAAAAAACTACCAAATTTTATACGAAAGTAGATAAGTGAGTTACGAACATATTCCAAGTTAAATGGATTCATTTGAGTAAGAAAAACTTCATATATTGATGCATGTCCTAAAATGACTCAGCATGTGCACAGTTACGGAAATTAATTTATAATAAATTCCTGACTTGTCCAAATGATGCAAAAGACCTACCAAAGTAACCCTAACAGAAAGACCTATGACTTTGTAAAATTACATGCAATTCTAATCAGAAAGTATATTTAATACGGATGATCGAATCAACAGGGCAGAACACAACATATAATTAACCGACAAGCATTACATAGAAGTTTGGCAAAAGATGAAATCAAAATCCTAATCATTATTAGATGCAATATTATTACTAATAAGACCCCGAGGGGGTGGAAGAGTACGATAATAGATATCTAAGACGGTATCGAAAGTCTTTAAAATTAAACTATATGGCTAAATTAAGAGCACACAAGATCCACACGCCATCCATATGAACACATCCCTCGATCCTCGAACTCGACTCCAACTTTACGACTCGTGCTCGGGATTGAAAGTACCTACAAGCATTTCAACACCTATATGAGTCTTTTGGACTCAATGAGAATTCCGAAAAATATCGAATACACATAGGCAAGAAGCATATATTTATGATATGTATATATGTATATATCCCATCTCGAATCACACATATACACAATAAAAACTTTTCGATTTTACCTCAATCGTCATTTCATTGAGGGACTTTACCAATTTACCTTTACCTTCTCGGATAACCTCTTAGACCTTCCTTTCATCATTTCATAAGGAATAAGAGTAAATCCCTTACACGGGAGTCGTCATTATTTTACACACACATTCATTCAAGTGCTCATACAATGTGAGAGAAAAACATTTTAGTTCGGATATCCTTTGGAAAATCAAGTAAAACCATAGACAATAAGCCTTCATTTATTTGGAACCCGTTTCATAAGTGGAATCAAACCACACACTCTTCATCTCATTTTGGGGTACCGGTCCCTCATACCCCGTGCTTATTCGATCTATGTTACAAGATTTCCCAACTTTAAAAACGTGCAAGTGATGTTAGAACATACTTTCATTCATTTCAAGCAACTTGATTAGGCGTGTGAGAAAAACATTTTTATTCGGATATCCTTTGGAAAATCAAGTAAAACCATAGACAATAAGCCTTCATTTATTTGGAACCCGTTTCATAAGTGGAATCAAACCACACACTCTTCATTTCATTTTTTGGGGTACCGGTCCCTCATACCCCGTGCTTATTCGATCTATGTTTTACAAGATTTTCCAACTTTAAAAACGTGCAATGTGAAGTTAGTATATATATTCTTCATTTCACATATTCAAAGTTAGCTTTCACATAAGCACACATATTTCCACATATTTCACAAAGGCACATAGTTTAATCACAAAATCACAAAAGCAAGTAAGACACATAACAACTCAAGCAAAGAACATAGATCACATATTTACACATATAGCTAAACAATTCAAAGCATTCGGTTATTTATAATTACTATCTCCAAGTTTCATTAATTAAAGATCAAGCCCTCTTTCTCAAGAGACTTGAAGTTTTCTCTCAATTAGCACCAAATTTCATTTATTACATTTTCTTTCCAAAATATTCAAACCATCATCAACAATTCAATCGCATTCAATTCCATTTTTATTAATCTTGTTCTCGGTTTTTATCTTCGTATATTATCTTATTACTCATAGATCATAAACCATGGATCGTAAGCTTCCTCGACCCGAAGGGAGTACACGTACAACCACGCAGGTCGATATATATACACATAGTAACATATACTTATATATAGCACATATAGATTATAAATAAACCATGGATCAAGTACTTTCTTCGACCACGCAGGTTTACGAAAACCATGGATCGAAGTTTCCTTAAGATCACGCAGGTCTAGTATATATACATAAATAAAATTACAATATTATTCTTAGTTCTTCAAGATTATATGATTTAAAGCTTAGATTCTTACATGCATGGATGATCAAAGCATAAATTAAACACAAAGTTTTATTTTCTTTTAGTTTTCGGTCACCACAAGAACATTAACAAGGAATTAAAGAAATAAAAATACTATTGGTGTTGAAGCACTTGTAGCAAGAATTCAAAAATTCTCACCTTAATCTTCTTAGAAAATTGGGAGGGTGTTCTTTCCTTTTCCTTTGGCCAAGAATTTTACACTTGAAAGAGAGAATTTGGGGCTTTCCTATACTATAATTCCGAAAATTGGGAGAAGAGGAGAAAGAGATTTTGATTTTTAGAATGTGTAGAGAAAAATGAGAAATAGATGAAGGCTTGGGTTCTATTTATAGAGTTGTGAGGGACTTGTATGCTTAATGATTAAGGAGTGGTGTTTTTGCAATTTAGGAAAACTTAGGAATTATCTAGAGGGACTTCTTTGCAATTTCATTTAACTCTCCAAAAGAAATTCAAAAAGGAAAAATCATAATGCACATGGGCTCACCTAGACAAGGGTTGTACTCAAGGAAAATATTTGGTCATATGTTGTACCATGGTCAAAATTGAGGGATGAATAGGAGGAATTTTCTATTTTTATTTAAGAAAATATGTGATTTTAAAATTCTCCTAACAAATAAGTTCTAGTAAATAAAAGAGTATAATTAACCTCTAGATTAACTAAGATGATCAATTTAAATTCGTCCAAAAATTATTTCGGATAATGCATTCTATATGAATTTTCACCGGTTATCACATAAATAAAATCTTAAACAAATAAACGCACATAAGAGATAAAATCACGTTAACTAAATAGATGCTAATTAATGAAAAATTAAATTATCGGAGACGCGGGGTGTTACAATTATCTCCATGCTTATTTAATGGACAATTGTAGATTTATGAGTCTTTAAGCTTTTGTCAAAATTTCACATCCATCCGACAACCGGTTAATTTATGGCGAATTTTCTCGCTGGGCAGCGCAGAAAATCCAAGAGCAGATTTTCAGAATTGCCTTCTCGCATCTTCGATTCTTCGATCTTCCTCCTCTTGGATTTCACCTCGTATACTTCGATCTACTAGATACGTGGCACTAGAAACGTAATAGTTAGAAAAACAGAAGAACAGAAAGAAGGAAAGAAATACCAAAAGGATCGGCCAAAGGATGGCCGATTCCGGCGAGATGGTGGCGACGGCGGCGGTGGTGGCCGTGGGTTGAGATTGGCCGAGAGAGGTGAGAGCGGCTAGGGTTAGTTCGTGTATTATCATATGTGTAAGACCTTTAAATCAAGTATTTATAGTGTCTTGCATAAAACCCTAACGAGCTTAAGTTGGACATGGCCCAACAGCTTAAGTTCGTTAGTTCTTTAACTTTCTCGTCTCTCTCAAGTCAATGATTGGAAAATTGTAACGATTACATTTTCGGAATAATTATAATGTCCTCGTGATTACGAGTGCCAACTCTCAATTTCCAACTTTCAAAAAGTGGAAACCCTAATTCAGTGCACTTTCTAAATTTGGAAACTTCCCAATTTAGTGAGTCCACTAATACGTTTGCCTATTCTTTTCCTTTTCTTATTCTCATTCATAATTCCAAATTACGAATGTTGGACCCAATCATATTGACTTCCAATCATGCAAAGATAAACCATTTTATCTCTGACCGTTTATTCAAAGATCTCATGTGCACGAGCAATGTGACCCTCGATGGTTCATGTGTAAGCTAGCCGTGGGCCCACAACCCTTTGTGGTCAAAACTCGTCCACTTAGAGTTACGATTAAGATGAAACTCGTATCACCTTAATCACCCAATTACGAATCAAGATTGGCGTCTAGCAACTACGCGTCATGATTTCCTAGATACAAATGAAGTGCCTGCAAGAACCTTCAGATATAGTTAACGTACAGTACGGTCCCTTCGATTCATATATCCCGATTGAACTAGAGGCATTGGTTCGTCGAGACCTCTTTATCTGTTCAATGACGGTGCGATCGTTCTAAGTGTTGTAATCGTTACGTGCATGACTTATAGAATCGAATTCTGTAATCACCACTTAATCAGCTCTGGCAAGAGACTTAGAATGATTACAAACTATCAGAACACACAGGACATCCAAGACTATTCTAGCGATCGAATCCCTGACTACAATGCACAGACCTCCCACTAGATTTCGGACTGCACGACACTGGCCCTTGGGATGGTCCTCGGTGGAACTCAGGGACAGGTCACGATACAGCTGGTCCTCTAGTGAAGCCATAGTGATGTCTAGGTCATAAGGACTAATGGTGTACAACTATACCATAGAGAGTTCAGTGAACTCGTCAACTAACGA